AAGAAAGTCAGTCCTGCAGGGGTCGTCTTGGAAACGGCTGCGCCCTCCCCCAGCTGTTTCCTGGAGAGTGAGGTTTCAGGCAGGAACCTGCCCTCAGGGTGAGGTTTCAGGCAGGAACCCGCCCTCGGAGCAGAGTGTGGAAATGAAATGATTTGTAATGGATCTATTATTGAAGCTACCTTTGGAAATACTATATCTATAGATCGGTGGTTCTAACCTTGGCTGCACATTAGAATCACCTGGGAATCTTTTCAAAATCCTGATTTTTGGGCCTCATCCTCCGGAAATTCTGTTTCTTTGTTATTAATGTTGTGGCCCCAACCCATAACAAAGAAACAATTTCTGGAGGATGAGGCCCAGGAATCAGGATTTTAAAAAGATTTCCAGGTGATTCTAATGTGCAGCCAAGGTTGAGAACCACTGCTATAGATAATATTAAAAATATATCTAAATGTGCAATTCTTTGTCCACAAAATGAGCATGTTCAAAAATTAAATGAAGAAAACTTTGATATACTCGATGGAGATTTTCACACATATTTGAGTGATGATTCCATTGATTGCACAGATGATGCTGAAAAGGAAAATTTTCCCATTGAATTTCTTAATAGTATTACTCCTTCGGGAATGCCGTGTCATAAATTAAAATTGAAAGTGGGTGCAATCATCATGCTATTGAGAAATCTCAATAGTAAATGGGGTCTTTGTAATGGTACCAGATTTATTATCAAAAGATTATGACCTAACATTATTGAAGCTGAAGTATTAACAGGATCTGCAGAGGGAGAGGCTGTTCTGATTCCAAGAATTAATTTGTCCCCATCTGACACTGGCCCCCCATTTAAATTGATTCGACAATGGTTTCCTGTGATGCCAGCATTTGTGATGACTATTAATAAATCACAAGGACAAACTCTAGACAAAGTAGGCATATTCCTACCTGAACCCATTTTCGCATATGGTCAGTTATATGTTGCTTTCTCACGAGTTTGTAGAGCATGTGACATTACAGTTAAAATTCTAAATACTTCATCACAAGGGAAATTAGTCAAGAACTCTGAAAGTGTTTTCACTCTTAATGTGGTGTACAGGGAGATATTAGAATAAGTTTAATCACTTTATCAGTCATTGTTTGTATCACTGCTGTTTTTATATCATGTTTCTGTTGTTTTCATATTATGTTTTTGTTGTTTTCATATCATGTTTTTGTCGTTTTTATATCATGCCTCTGTTGTTGTTATATCCTTTTGTTACTGTTTACTTATTAATAAATTTATATATTATTTTCATATATATATTTTACTAATTTCCTTTCATCTCTCACACTTCTATTATAGAGAAAGGGCAAATAGTAATATTTAAATATCTTTGCTAATTAACTCCCTTTTAAAAAAAATATATTTTATTGATTTTTTACAGAGAGGAAGGGAGAGGGATAGAGAGTTAGAAACACTGATGAGAGAGAAACATCGATCAGTTGCCTCCTGCACACTCCCCACTGGGGATGTGCCCACAACCAAGGTACATGCCCTTGACCGGAATCGAACGTGGGACCCTTGAGTCCGCAGGCCGATGCTCTATCCACTGAGCCAAACCAGTTAGGGCAATTAATTCCCTTTTAATGTGCACAAATTTAATGCACTGGGCTACTAGTTATAATAAAATCCTAATATGCAAATCAATTGAACGGCAGAACGACCAGCTGCTGTGATGTGCACTGACCACCAGGAGGCAGACACTCAATGTAGGAGCTGCCCCCAGCCCACAGGCTCCAGGCCAGACAAGCGGGTGCCAATGGTGGTGCCAGTTGTCCCACAGATCAGCCCTGATCGCTGGCCAGGCCTAGGGACCCTACCCATGCACGACTTTTGTGCACTGGGCCTCTAGTTACATCTATATGAATATAGATGTAACCCGCCATTTTCCAGAGCATTATCTCAATTTGTTGAGGTTCTGCTTCCCAGCAATTGTAGACAGTTTGGCTCAAATAAACTCACAAAAATTCTTTACAGGTTTGAATGTTTTATGTTAACAAGGGTTATATGTGGAGAAACCTCTGATGCATTTGAGATTAAATCTTTCCTAGTTGGATTCTGGTGTTGCCAATGGTCTGATTTATAAGTAAACCAGAACTATGAGGAATAGAAATGGGGAGGTAAATGAGTGTTTATTTTCTTCAACTCTCATTAATCTTAGCTCTGGTGTTTGTACCAAAGAAATTACTTGTATTTATTCTTATGGCTAAATTGCTAGCAATAAATTAGGAAAGGAAAAAAAAATAACCATGTGGGATAATTGACTGAAAAACAAATGTCAGTAAAAGTAAACAGAATGGATTCCACTAAATCTACTTGCAAAAATGTCAGAGGAGTTGAGTTGTTTTCCCTCACAATATTTGTGCTGGTATAAAGTTTAATTAAATTTCTCCATAGAGACTGGGTATTTTGCTAGATGTCACTTTGAGATTTTTCTCAATGAAGGACTGCATTCTGATTAAGTGATGCAACATTTGTCCTCGGTAGTAAAGCTATGACAATTGACACCTCTCTTCCCCAACTCTCCCAGGCTAACTAAGCAGCAGGAATGAAGGAGCACTTGCCACTGAGCCAGTACTTCCAAGGCTGGACCAGTCCTGCTTTGGTCATAAGGAACTGTGACCTTGAGCAAATTCCTTAAGACCTCCAGCATATTAAGTATCAGAGACATTGATTTGCCCGGCACATACGTTTAACAGTCAGTTCTGAAAGCCTTCCTGCTCTAGCAGCCTCTGTTGTATTATAATACACAAATACACAGTCAGTGAAATTTAGCAAAATAAATAGGAATTTGGGGAATTTTAAAAACGAATAAACTAGTCACTGAGCTGGAGTCATCAGGTAGCTGCATGTTATTTTAGGATGGGAAATTAAAAAGAGTAATATGTTTGCCTACACTTTTAAGTCTTAGGCTTTTTTTAACCTTTAATATCTCATTTATTAGACTTATCATGTAAATAGTGCTGATCTTTCTTGATTTTAGCTATATTTCCAAGCTATTTGAGAATGGCCAAGGGTAACTGTTTTCTGCACATATCATTATTTTTTTCTTTTTTGGGGGAATCTTATAAGCTGTTGGAGAAAATGGTAGATAAATTAGCTATTTTTTTTTTTTTTTTAAATAAGGACATTTAGGTTGTTTTTGGGCATCTAGATGAACACACCTTTGAAATTCCAGAGTCATTCTCTGTTCAGACCCCTTTAAGGCATAATCATCTGATAATCCAAGCATGTCAAACTCAAAGGCTAACACGGGCCAAATAAACAAGGTTTAAGTTTATGTACGCCACAAAAAACCCCAAAGCTTCAATTTTCATAGAAACGTAGGTTTATTTAGATAGAGACATGCTGAATACAAAGGGCTGAAATAAATGAGTAATTGTTAGCATAAAATAATAGAACATTTTAATAAAAATCAATATTTTTTCTTGAACATTAATTTACCAGACACAAATTAATAAGTGCAATGCAAATAAACTTCTTTCTTGTTTTCCAAAAGCAAAATATTTCCTGTTGCACACACCAAACAGGTCAATTCAAGACTAATGACGTGGCAATCAGCTGCTAAAATATTTGCTGTTAGTATTAGTGGAGAGAAATGGTGCACCTGTGCGTAAGGCACGTAAGGGAAATGAATGCAACACGATTATAGTAATCAGTCATTAGTGAACGTTGTAGTTCGTTATTAATAACTAGAGGCCTGATGCATGAAAATTCATGCAAGAGTAGGCCTTCCTTCCCCTGGCTGCCAGCAGCTGCTTCCCTCCAGCACCTGCGACCCAAGCTTCCCTCCTCTTGCTGCTGGCAGGCACCTGGGACCCAGGCTGGCTTCCTCCGGGACCCGGCTAGCTTCCCCCAGGCTGCCCGCAGGCTCCCAGGACCTGGCTGGCTTCCCTCTGGCCCCTGTTTTGTCAGGAAGGACGTCCAGAATGATGTCTGGAAGATGTCCAGTCTAATTAACATATTGCCCTTTTATTATTATAGACTAGAGGCCCAGTACACAAAATTCATGCACTTGGGGTAAGGGGGTCCCTCAGCCCGGCCTGCGCCCTCTCATAGTCTGGGAGCCCTCAGGGGATGTCCCAGGGGGAGTGCGCCTAAGCCATCAGTCAGACATCCTTAGCGCTGCTGTGGGGGTGGGAGAGGATCCAGCCACTGCTGCTGCACTTGCCAACCATGAGCTGGGCTTCTGGCTGAGCGATGTTACCCCTGTGGGAGCGCACTGATCACCAGGGGCAGCTCCTGCATTGAGCATCTGCTTTATAGTGACTGGTCCTTCTGCTGTTTGGCTGATTTGTATATTAGCCTTTTATTATATAGGATTATGTATAACAGGATATTGTAAAACTTAAGTTATGAAATTTTTATTGAAACGTTTTTTTCATTTTTTACATACCATTATATTGGCTGGGCCACAAAAATATTTGTTGTGGGCCTCATGTGGCCCGTGGGCTTCGAGTTTGACATGCTTGATGTAATCATAGAAACCCCTCCCCCTTTCTGTTCCCTGCTGTGCTTTCTCTCACTTTTTTGTAATCTTCCTTAGTTCTCTCCTTAATTCCAAATGCACAAAAGAAAACTGTAAAACTGTCTTTCTCTGGAGCATTTGAAAGCTTGCTTCCAGGCATGTCATCTGTTTGGCTCAAATAGACTCAAGTAATGCTTACAAAAATTCTCCACAGGTTTGGAAGTTCTTATGTCAACATTTTCAACATTAGTAATCCCTCAAAAATAAATTAGGGTTTGTTTTTTTTTCTTGTGATATACCTTTTATGTGGGAGAAAGATAAAAATAGACTTGTGCATGAAAAGAAATTGCAGCCTACTTTTTTCAATAAGATACTAAAGAATTCCTTCAGTAATCAAAAGGTAAGTGTGAAATTGCCTTTTGTTTAGTGGAGAAATAAATAGAAACAAGAAAGAATCTCTTTTTAATAAAAACTTAATGGTATGTCCATTCAGCTGCCATGTTGCATGAGGTAAATAGCTGGATTTGCGACATTCAGAAAGCAAAGAAATGAACAAAAGTGTAAAGAAAGTAATAAGTCTGAAAATTAAACACTTTAGCTTTAAGTCTTGCCAGTGGATCTTATAAAACTGCAAGCTGTTTTGTAAACAATTTGTGTTGTAAACAATCATGGTGTTTGTACCTATTCTCATTTTTAAACTAAATATATGACAACAATGGAGTTCAATTAAAAACAGATTAACCACATAGATATGTATAATTGATTATGGTAGATTTTGCTTTGCTAAATCTACCTAGATTTTCCCTAAGTAGGCATCCCATTTTATCCACTTGGTGGATAAAAAAGGGGCTCTATAATAAATCTAACTAAAAGTAAGTTAAAGAGTAATTTGATCCTAAATCCCTATCTGAGCAGATTATGGTGGGTGGGTGGCTTGTCATGCCGCAGGCATATAACTTGTTTATTAAAAGGTTTATCTTTGGACCTCCACGGCATTAGGCTCACAGCAGCGCAGCCGCTCGGAGTAGATCTACGGAGTGACCCAAACCGAACACATGGCTACCACCCAAGCCCGCGCGGTGGTCCAACAAGTAGAGCAGGTCCCTGTGGACACCTACACGGACCACAGTATGTGGAATGCTGATGAAGACTCGCCTCCGTCTCCAGAGGACCCCTCTTATGGTGACTCCGACATACTCAGCTCCGCAGCTGCTGACGAGGTAACAGCCCATCTGGCTGCTGCAGGGCCTGTGGGAATGGCTGCCGCCGCTGCTGTGGCAACAGGGCAGAAACGGAAACGGCCGCACGTGTTTGAGCGGAATCCATCCATCCGGAAGAGACAGCAAACACGCATGCTTCGCAAACTTCGAGCCACATTAGATGAGTATACTACTCGAGTGGGGCAGCAAGCTGTTTTGCTCTGCATCTCACCCTCCCAACCCAAACCGGCCTTTAAGGTATTTGGGGCAGCACCGCTGGAGCAGGTGGTGCGTAAGCACCAGAGCGCGATCCTGGGGGACCTGGAGTCCGCCCTGGCCCACTGCGCCCCGGGGCCGCCGGAGGGTAACTCGGAGCTGCCACTTCTCACCAGCGACGGGATTCCAGTCTCTGTGAATCAAATGACCCAGGCCCAGCTGCGGGCATTCATCCCAGAGATGCTCAAGCACGCCACGGGTCGGGGAAAACCAGGCTGGGGCAAAGAAAGCTGCAAGCCCACCTGGTGGCCCGAAGACATCCCGTGGGCCAATGTCCGGAGGGATGTCCGCACGGAAGAGCAAAAGCAGAGGGTTTCATGGACCCAAGCACTCCGGTCCATAGTTACAAACTGTTATAAACAGCACGGGCGGGAGGACCTTTTATGCGCTTTTGAAGATCAGCAAACACAAGCAGAGGCTGCAACCACACAGAGTATAGCCCATCTTGTTCCATCAGAGACCGTAGTCCAGACCTTCAGTAACCCCGATGGCACTGTCTCACTTATCCAGGTTGGCACAGGGGCAACAGTAGCAACATTGGCTGATGCTTCAGAATTGCCAACCACAGTCACTGTTGACCAAGTGAATTATTCTGCTGTGGCAGATGGAGAGGTGGGACAAAACTGGACCACGTTACAAGGAGGTGAGATGACCATCCAGAGGGCGCAAGCTTCAGAGGCCACACAGGCAGGGGCAGCTTCTCAAGAGATGCAACAGGGAGCTACTGTCACCATGGCGCGCAACAGTGAAGCTGTCGCCACATTGGCCAAAGCCACCTTGCAAAGTGGGGGACACATCGTCCTGTCTGGGGAAACCGCAGCAGCCATTGCAGCACTTGCTGGAGTCCAAGATGCTAACGGACTGGTCCAGATCCCTGTGAGCGTGTACCAAACTGTGGACCTGCAATCCTTTGGGTAACCAGCCTCACCCAAGGCAACAGGCTGGTGCAGGTGGCCATGGCCCCTGGGGACACCAGGACAGCGGGTAGCAGCCACCATAGACTGCCAGGCTGTGGAAATGATGACGTTGGGACAGTGACATGCAGCCATGTCATCATGGCATCGTTTTCTAGTCTACTTCAGGCATTTTCATACCTTGCAGAGGTGCAATCAAATGGAGTTAAGTCCCTCAACTTTGGAAGAAAAGTATCATTAATCCTTTTTTAAAAAAGGAAGAAAGCCAGTGAATGTTGAAATTGCATTTTTTAAAGCATCACTCTTGATTTTCTGGGATTGGTGGAATAAGATACTGCATGGTTAGTTTCACTGTCCCTAAAAAGCCAAATTGTGGCAAGACTTCTTTCTGCAAAAACATGTGTGTATACTTATGTGTGTGTATGTGCGAATGTGACTATATGTACATGTGTACAGATGGATATAAACATTTACATATAAATAAAGTATATATGTGTACGTATATATTCATCTATATGTATAAAAGCCTAAGCAACTGGATGGCCAGCCAACCAGCTGGTAGTTATGATGCACACTGACCACCAGGGGGCAGATGCTCAATGCAGGAGTGTACTCCCACAGTGGAAACACAGCTCAGCTGACAGATGGGTGCCAGACACCAGGCTCACGGCTGGCAAGAGCTCACGGCTGGGGAGCGCAGCTATGGCTGCACGAGCCTCTCCCGCCTCCACGGCAGTGCTATGAATGGCAGGCGCAGTGGACTGGGCTGAGCTGGAGTGGCTCAGTGTCTGGCCCAGGCTCCTCCCTGGCTGCCTGCCGCTTCTCTCACTACTACATCCCCTGAGGGCTCTTGGATTATGAGAAGGCCCAGACCAGGCTGAGGGACCCCACCGGCACACAAATCTGTGCACCCACCAGGCCTCTAGTATATATATGAAACCTACATGGAATTATCTGTTTGAAATTAAGGTGGGCCCAGGCCCCTGCATAGCTGCCTCCCATGGTGTCCCTGGGTCTGGGCTTCTCTGTAACTCTTCAAGTCTAGGATTTCTCAGCTGCGAGTCCTGAGTACCCAGTGGCTAAATTCACCTGACTTTTCGACAGGCCAAATCTCCACTCCTTGGGCACAGGGACAACTCTTCCCGCTCTTCTGGGCCCCCTCTGTGTGATAAAGTATTTAATGTTTTTTTTGTTGTTGTTGGTTTTTTTTTTTTTTTTTTTTTTTTTTTTTTTTTTTTTTTTTAACGTGACATTAAAAGATCATTCATGTCTTGCTCAGCCTTTGAGAAAAGTTTCAGATTCTTGTATTTGCTTGTTTTATATAAAACTAGAGGCCTGATGCACAGATTCATGCACCAGTGGGGTCCCTCAGCCTGGTTTGCAGGGATTGGGCCAAAACTGGCTTTCTGGCATCCCCCCAGGGGTCCCGGATTGTGAGAGGGCGCAGGCTAGGCCAAAGGACCCCACCGGTGCACGATCAGGGCCGGGGAGGGACAGTGGGAGGGCTCCAGGACGTGTCCGGCCCATCTTGCCCAGTGCCGATCTGCTGGACCCCAGCAGCAAGCTAACCTAGCGATCAAAGCATCTGTCCCCTGGGTGGTCTGTGCACATCATAGCGACTGGTTGAACAAATAGTTCCACACTTGGCATATTAGGTTTTTATCATATAGGATTATCCAGTATTAAAAAAAATAAAGGGTTTATCTTTGCCTTAAACAAGCCCTGTCCATTGTTTTTGTGCATCTAGGTTAACACACCTTTAAAATGCCTTTTTCAGACCCCTGGGAAGTATAACCACCCTCAACAGAGCACATAATCTTGTTAAATATTCTGTCATTTAATCCCCACCCTGCCTTGCTTTCTACCATCTTCATGTAACCTTGGTAACATTCCTCCCTCCCTGCTCCTTAATTCCAAATGTATAAAAGAAACTACAAAACTGTCCTTCTCTGGAGTATTTGAGATCTTGCTTCTTGGTATTGTCATCAATTTGGCTCAACTAAATTTTATAAAAACTCTTACAGGTTTGGACATTTCTTACATCAACATACTGCTATGAGATACAGTGGGCCATAGATTTTAGGCAGAGTGCTAATTAATCATGTAATAAATGAAACATTCCAACTATTTAAATATGGTGCATGTGAGTGGGTGGGATGGTAAATGACTTTGCCCTTAAATTCAAAGCCAATTCATTTTCCCACTTCTGCTCCCTTGTGTATTTGTTAATTGCTTTTCTTTTATTCCTGTAGAAAACTTTACCTGATGTCAAAATCACATTTTCCTGACATCTAGCTTTTACTTCTGGGTGGATGCTACTTAGAAAATACCTAAGGGTGCTTCAATTTCTGATTTTGATTGCTTGTGGTGAAGGTGGTAGGCATACCAGGAAGTTTGGTAAACATATTTAATGATACGTTATTAATTGGATGCTTTGCTATGACTCTTGCCCTAAGCACTTGGTAAATATTTTCCGATTTTTTGGCCTCTTTTTATTTTACCTACTATGATTTATAAATATAGGAACATATTTTGACTTGTGAAAATTCAGCAAAGAAGTTGACCAAGTGGGCAATGCCACTGAAGAAGGGTAGAAACCTTTGTGAGAAACATTGTAATAAGAGGAGGAAACCTTTCTTTATAGGTGGCCACTGATTTTGGAAAAAATATTTTAAGGACTCACATATTAAAAAGAGTTAATTAAATTTATTTTTATTTTAAAGAGGAAAATTTTCGAGTCATTTTTTAGGGATCAGACTAGGAAAGAGAGAAAGTTGGGAGTTAGATAGGAGGACAAGGTAAGGAGACATCTGAAAGATCAGAGCTGACATTACCCATAACCATTGCTCTTTGCTCAGAATCCTTCTTCCTCATCAATTAATGTGGATTCTTATTCCAAGTGTTCCTTAGAAGATAAAAAGAATTCCCCTAACAGATTCTGAAAGTTTCTCCTATTAATAACAAAGTTGCTGAAGTTTAAATTTTTTATTTTTGAATGAAAGTTACTGTCCTTTTCTATCTTTATAATTTACTCATTCTTTTAGCACACATTTATGGGGCTGGTCACCAAAGAAATGAGGATATAACGATGAAGTAGGCACACAACGATTGGCTTCCCTCAGATAGATGCAGTAAGTGGCCCTCCACAGTGCCTGGCTCCTGGATACGGTGTCTTAACTTTGTTTGGGTAGACATATAAATTTGGGTGCTCTTGAGCAAACCACTGATATTTGAAGTATGAGTAAGGCCAATTAGAACAAGGAGCAGCAGCAAGAGCTGTTGAGCTGTGGAGATACGTTGGCAGAAAAGATTAAAAAGGGAAAGCTTATCTGCAAAGCTTGATTGTGTGGATCGTCTTCAGACCATCTCGGGGCTTTGGAGTGATCAGACCATCAGGAGCTTGGCTGTGGTTATAAGACGCTCACTCGATTCTTTTACATTCCTGGCTGAGGTTCAGTATTCAGAGAGGTGGTAGCTTAATGTTCCATGCAGCTGTCAGCATCTTTGTGGGCATCTGAGAGGGCACGGGGCCTGCACAAGGCACTGAGTCCGACATGGACCCTCCTTTCCACACTAGGGCTTTGGCTGAAATGTTGGCAAGGCCAGTCTTGGGCCTGCAGCAAGGGCCTGGCTGCGGGAGAGCCTTGACTTCCACCTAGTGGCAACTGTAAGTGGCCAGCCCCCCTTTCCTGGAGAGGGACATTTCAGACTAAAAGCCTTTCCAAATACGGGCCTCAAGATCCTCCCAACTGCTTCCTGTAGGGCCAGGCCAATTCTGATTGCTACCAAAAATGTTTAACCTCATTGAGTGCAATTTCAGGGAGAAAATGTTAATTTCACAAATATCATTTTGTATAAAAGGTGTGTTTATATATACACACAAAAGTATGAGGTAATAGTTAAATGTTCTCAACACAGGGAAAATAAAAACTTGACTTTTAAAGAGTAACGTTTACTTAAATTAATCTTAAAAGTTAAAAAACGTTGTTTTTCAATAACTATGAAAAAACAAATACATGGCTAAATGCATCTCTGCTCTCTCAATTAGTTTTATTTAACATTAGAGCATAATAATGCTTTGCTCTAGATTTATGCCATTTTTAAACTACTTGCATTCATGTATTTATTATTACTTCACTTGGAAAAGTGAGAAAACTAGAATATTGGTTAATAGGAACTCTTTCTTATCTTTCATGTGTTTTATTCCCTACATATAAAGTATATTCTTAGAAAATAATGAATGATAGTTCAGGATATTTTTACTTCTGAGAAATTGTTTCAACATTTTTTTAAACTTAAAAAAACCCCAATATTTTCTTTCTTCTTTTGCTCATTAACTGTCCTTAAAGTTTGGCTCCTATTATATAAGTTAATTCTCCATTTTGAATATAATGATGTAGAATAGCACTAAAATATACTAAAACTATGAATGTTTGATTAAATTTTATATTATTAAATTTAATTTAGTATTGTTCATATCAATAAAATGTTATTCTATAAAAATATAAGTATGATGTGTTTCTAGCTTTAAATTGTGCACTATGAGTAAAGAATATAGAATTGTAAAAATTAAATTCAAGTTCTTAGGACAACACGTATCAATATGATTGTTAGAACACAGAGTCTGGCTTTTTAAAACTGGTGTCTTAAAGACAGGGAGGCAAGAGTGAGCATCAGTTTTGTGTCAGACAGATTTGCTGCTCTGGGCAGAGAATGTAGCATCTTAGCTTAGTTTTCTTATCTGAAAAAGTACTTAATAAAATATACACAGCCTTACTTGTGAGGATTCACTTATCTGTTTGTAAAGCACCCAGTACAATGCTGTGAACATAATCAGCACTAAAAAAGGGTGCTAGCTTCTGTTATGATGATAGTAATAGTATTGTAGTCTCTAAATATCTCTTCTCAGATAACCAATAACTGAGTTTAACATTGAAGAGGAACATATTGTTTTTAAGTGGCAGTGCAATAAAATTTTAATATTTTAAAATAAAGTGATTTAAAATTGTACTAAAATGAATATTTCTCTGTTTTGTCTACAAAAATGTGACTAAATGGACACATCTATGTGTTTATATTTTTGTAGACAAAAAAAACCTACTACTTTTAAAATTTATTTTATAC